GCCTCTGACCTTTATGGCAGCCGGGTCACCTCCCACAGCGCGGGCACGACGCCAGAGGCCATGAGGCAGTGTGGGCAGGCCCCGGGGGTGGGGGAAGCGGTTCATCAGCCTGGTATTCTGTCCCCTTGCAGTCCCTGTGCCCTGATGACGCAGCTGCAGGCCTCCGCTGTGCGGGCCTTCCCCGGGCGGGTGAGCCGAGCCCTGCAGGGCTGATCTGTTAGTCCTGCCAGTGACCCCCCCCCGCCGGGTGCACACGCCCAGCCCTGCGGCTGAGCTCACCTGCCCCGAGCAGCCAGTTTGTCTCAAACTTTTCTTACTGCGGTAAAACACAAAGAACCGACAGTTTGCCACTTGGAACCACGTTGACGTGTCTGATTTGGTGGCATGCAGGGCGGCGTGCACCGTGGCTATTTCCAAATCCACCTCATGGCTCCACGCAGACCTGTTCCCGCCCCCTCCTCACCCCTCCGCTGCCCTCCCCAGCCCCTGCTGACCGGTCCCTGCTTTCCGTCCCTAGGAACGCACCTGTTCTCCACCCTTGGCTTGTCATGGGGTACGTGGCCCGTGTGGCTGGCTGCTTTCATTCGGCGTCATGTCTTCGAGGCTCATCCATGTGTAGCCTGGGTCAGCACTTCTTCCTTCTAAACACATTTTTTTGGGGAGCCAGTAGTTTACTTGGGAGTCCATTTCAGGGAGCAGGAGTAGGGTGTCGGCATTGTGAAATAGGGACGGTGGACAATTCAATACAGACATTTTTTTTTATTGAGGTATAATGACATAGAACGAGGTATTAGTTCCAGGTGTATGACGGGATGCCCCGGTCTGTGGTGCAGAATGATCGCCACCGTGAGTCTAACTAACATCGTCACCATACGCAGTCACAAAAATGTTTGTTCTTGAGTTCCCGGGTGAGAAAAGTTCTTGATGAGAACTTTTAAGATCTACTTTTTTTCTAAGTCGGCTCCACACCCAGCGTGGAGCCCGACGTGGGGCTGAGATCGTGACCTGAGCTGAGACCAAGTCAGACGCTCAACCGACTGAGCCACCCAGGCGCCCCCAACGTAGTGTTAACTGTAGTCACTGTGCTTTACGTTACACCCTCAGGACTTAATTCTTTTTTTTTTTTTTAAGATTTTATTTATTTATTTATTTATTTGAGAGAGAGAGAGAATGAGAGACAGAGAGTATGAGAGGGAGGAGGGTCAGAGGGAGAAGCAGACTCCCTGCCGAGCAGGGAGCCCGAAGGACTTAATTCTTTTTTGACTGGAAGTTTTGTTCCTTTTTATGGCCGAATAACATTCCATTGTGTGGACAGACCACGTTTTATTTATCTGGTCACCTGTGGATGGACACTGGGGTCGGTTTCAGCTTTGGCTGCTGTGAATAGTTCGATGAACGTTGGTGTGCAAGTATGTGTGTGTGCCCCCGATTTGAAGGCTTTGGGGTCTGTATTTCGAAGTGAAATTGCTGCGGCCTGTGGTAATTCTACAGTTCGGTCTTTGAGGAGCTGCCGAATGGTTTCCGGGTCGCTGCACCATGTTGCATCCCCCCCAGCAGTGTCCCAACAAGGGCTCCGGTGTCGCCACATCCTTGCCGACACTCGCTGTTGTCCGTTTTCGACTCCGGCCATCCTCGCGGGGGTGAAGGGGGATCTCATTTGTGGTCTTGGTTTGCATTTCCCTGGTGACTACTGATGCGGAGCATCTTTTCCGGGGCTTCTTGGCTGGTTGCACATCTTTGGAGACCTGCCTGTTCAAGTCCTTTGTCCATTTTACGATGGGCTGTTTGTCTCTGTTGTTGAGTTGTGGGAAATCTTTATATATTCTGGATATCAAACCTTTATCTGGAGTGAGGATTTGAACCCGCTCCGAACGCTGCTCTCTCCCAGTCCCCGGGACGCTGTGGCTCCTGAGCTCCCTGTTGAGTGGGCCTGAGTTTTGTCACCTGTCGCTTGGCTGGCTTGCTTTGTCTGAAGTTCTGTGCTGTGACCAGCATCCCGGCGGGGTCCTTGGCCAAGCTTCAGGAAGAGAGCTCCCGGGATCAAAGGGCCCCGGTGGCTTTGTGCGCGGAGCTTGGAGGCCAGGGGACTGGCGCTGTCCCAGGCCGGAGGCGGCCCCTGCGTGCAAGGAGGGGGGCAGCTGCAGTGGGAGCAGGGGGCCCTGGTTCTGTCTACCATGGGGTTCACACCCCACCTTGGCCGCTCGAAGGCCGTGCTTAGGGCCGTGGAGAGCCGCTGCTCACTGGGCTAGAGCCCAAGCCACTGTAGCTGCCCGATGAGGTGAAGGCTTGGTGGGGGCGCTGGGGTAAGGGCTGCCTGGGGGATTCCGTTGGCTTCCAGGCAGAGGTGGCCTGGGGTTCTAGGGCTTGGGAACCCCAGCTCCCCGCAGCATCTCCATCAGATGCGGGCTGTTCGCTGTCATGGAGCCAGGATCGTTCTGTGGGGACACACACCCTGTGAAGCACATCACACCCCTGCCATCACACGCCGGGACACCGGGGCCCAGAGAGGGTGGGGATGTAGCCCCAGCCACACAGCAAGATCAAGACTAACCCCAAGATGGGCTTGGGGGGTGGCAGCTCAGGCAGGAGGATCCTGAGCCTGAGTCTCCCTTCTGACTGGGGCAGACTCCCTTTGCCCCTGTTGTGTGTTTCTGCTTGCATACTCCCAGGGACAAGCAGCTCACTACCTCTGAAGCAGCCTGTTCCATTGCTGGGTGGCTCTCACGGAAAGGTTTGTGGGCTGAGAGGAGGGCGGAGGGGCCTGGCTGTAGGGACCTTGGGCAGCTGAGCCGAGCTGTCACATCCTTCCCTTCTAAGCACAAAGGGGAAGTAACTTCCTGGGTCAGTTGGAGGACAGGGCTGGGCAGGATTTGCCCTTGGCCTGGCCGGTTCCAGGCCCTGTCCGTGGGCCAGCCTGGGGAGGCTGAGCCCGAGGCAGCCCAGCTGCTCTGGGCAGGAGGGGTGAAGACCCTGGAGACCAGCACTGGCTCTCTTGAGGGTGCCCGGGATAAGCCCCGCTGACCTCACGGGCCTCAGTTTCTTTTATCTGTGCATCACAGCGCGGCTCTGCCTCTGAGGGCCTGCGAACCGGGACACAGAGCAGACCTGGGAGCATCCGAGCACGGGATGACCCCTGGCCCTGTCCATCCCCACCCCTGCACCAGACTCCTTGCCCCCTCCCACCGAGCAGCCAGGGAGGTTTCTGGAAGGCACAGCTGTCTTGCCCCAAGGCCCGCTCCCCCCCCCCTTGTGCTACCCCTGCAGGGTCTGGTTGCTTTCTGGCCAGAAGGCCCTCCCCTGCTTGGCCCACTCCCACCATCATTGTCTTTTTCTTTCCTATAGAACAAACTACAGAAAAGGACAAAAGATTCTGTAACGAGCACCCCACCCCCAAAATAAATGCATTCAACGTTTTATCATGTTTCCTTAGATCTTGTTTAAGAACTGAAACACCGGAGACAGAGCCAGAGCCCTCCACGCCCCCCACCCCTGGCCACCCCCGTGGCCTCCGGGGTTCCCGATGCGTCTGGGCGCCACGCACGCCCCGTCACTCGGGCTGGAAGCCCCCCGCGGCGCACGGCACCTGTAGCTCTCGGCCGCTGCTTGGATTTTGGGCATTATGTTTCTTTTTTTTTTTTTTTTTAAGGATTTTATTTATTTATTTGACAGAGAGAGACACAGTGAGAGCAGGATCACAAGCAGGGGGAGAGGGC